ATCTTGGAGACCTGGAGAATGTTGACAAAAGATGTTCTCAGGACGTTCTACTTTGTAAAGAGGACCTTCCTAGGACATTTAAAGATCTTAACGAGGACCTAACGGGGACATATGGACCTTTTCGGGACATCGTCTGAATATACAGAACGTTCGGAACCTACGTCCTCCGGTCGCACATGAGACGTTTTTGTGCTATTTGGGTAAGAATTAGGCAACCTGATTTGATGTGCTACTTATGTTAATCCCTTAACGCACGGTTTCTGCGCAACGCAATGCCACTTGCACGAGTTAATTCGTGTGTACGCGTTAAGAGATTAAACGACATGTTTTTTACCTTAATTTTAATATTATCCACTGATTATAGACTATGTATTAACATATATTCAGAAATGATTTATATGTCCTTATATCACAAATAGACTCTGATATTCTCGTAATATACATAAGTATACGTTTAATAAATCTACCTGCACTTTTAGCGAAACACATTTGTATTATGTTCTTACATAATGAATGTGCTTCGTTACATCCACCTTAAAATCTTTAAACGTAAGGTCAAGAAGCGTATGACTTGTTGGCAAGACTATTTAAATTCAGGTGTGTCTTGCTTCGATTAAAAATCAATTAGTCATAACTGTTCACAGTCTGCACTTCAAAAAGGACATTTATTATGCAGCAATTTAATAACTTCTCCCAAGAGGTGTATAAAACTAACTGGTCATATTTCTACACTTGTATTGCATTTGGGTGGCATGTATTGCAATGACTGTTATGTTCAAGATTATACGACTGCCCACGAACAATTACATTCACAATGGAAATATACATATACTTAACCCTTTTCTACCTGTACAGGGAAATACAAAATTTTCACAATGTAAAAAAGAAATTTAAGAAATACAGTAAACGCTACATTTAGAGGCGGTGCTGTATATCCCTTCACAATAACAGAATAAGTATTTTTTTAAGGATTTCAAATTGCAAAGATGTTTGCAAAGGTAGTAATTGCTTTAGTTATTGGTTCAATTAACCTTGCTAAATATTATTTATTGGATATACTTCGATCATCAAAAGACGGTTACATATTAAAGGGGCGTATGTTAAATAGCGGACTCTACCGACGATCGATGAAACTAAATGCTTTAAGGTATAATATCTGAACTCATGTGTCGATATTATAGCATTTATAGCATGGATAATTGAAACGGAATTAGATTTGAAAGATATAAAAAGCCTACGAGAAGTGAATAAAACTATCTAAATATTCATATGTCATTGATTGGTAAAAAATTCTTATATTATTATGTTAAAAAATTTCTCCTACCTGTTATTTTGTTATTTTCAAACAAATTTAGGAATTAGTTTGAAGAGGCGACCAAGAAAATTATTAAAAGTAATTACCCGGATTTTCATCAGAATCTTGATTTAATTCTCCGCACATAAATCTCATCCTACACACATCAGAATAGACGCACGAATAACAAGTAGCAATACCTCAAATACATTTAAGTGATATTTATGAGTTATCCGACTTAATGAGGATGTTATTTCTTTAATGCTTTCGAAACAGAACTGATGCAGTGGACGTTATGCGTCATACTGGAATTTATTGGTTGTTTAATCATGCAATTTAGCAAGTATGAAACTGCAATGAAAGAGCATTTTACTAAATAGATTCTCTACTAAACTTAAGGCAAACAATTACATCCCCTCAAGTACTTTAATACCGACGTTTAAAAATAAAGAGATAAATGTCAAATATCATAATCAACTGATTTGTACGAACCACTTGTTTTAATAATTTTTTAATCACGTAGATAGTGGAAATGTTCTATTAGCACTCTTCTGTTTTCTTAGAAAACCAAATATTTACATATATGTACATTTATTATATATATATATATAGGAAGTTTCCTACTAATAAAATAAATGGAAAGTATAAGTAGATTTACAAAATTTTAATAGTATGATGCTTTAACTAACATACTTCGGGAATGTTTCTTGGTTCGGACGTTATAATCGTTTTTAAAAAATCAAGTAAGTTTATTTTCATTTAAAAAATTATCAAAATCCTGTAAAAATATCACGTTGTTTTTGTCTTAATAGATATTCCAAATTAAATAACTTTCATCTAGGATAGGTACCTACAACGAATACACGAACACATAGTGTACAAATTATGTATATTGTACATGTAAGCTGTAATTATACAAACTGAACGTGACTTTTATTTAATTCTCTCTTCACTGTAAAAATTGTTCAGATTGTTTATAAAAAAAAGAGACAAAATCATTGCTATGATAAAATTAATACGAATTAGTGTGAAATTTGATTCTATGTATGATTTAGCAAATAAACATTCTACCATTCCGTAAACTTCAACGATTACCGCTGTGATACGTATTTTATTCCTGGATATGACGTATGAATAATTCCATACTGTTTTGATTATCATTATCAACAACCGCCAGACAAACTAGCGTTTGAGGAACGTTGTGATGTGTGTTACTTCAAACGTACGTCAAGCTTTTAGAACTTCCCACGACGAGGAGGTCGGAGCTACGGGGGAAACAAGCAAATGGTGAAAACTAGTAAGAACGCATAAAATCATAAAGAGAAATTCAACGAGCCCCGCAATATACATATAACACAAGATAACACGCGGGAACGGTGTCGCGAGAGACGTCGCTATTTTATGCCTGAGAAATGTTCCTGGAATCTCCAGACTAAAACGTAACAAGCTGCTTTGATCTTCTGACCTTCCTTGCTTTCCGAGTGACGGATCATTATTCGGTAGACGTTTTTATTTGGTATTCAAAAGGAGAGTGAAAGCTTGCAATTATCATACGTTTTATAAACAGAGAGAATCGACATGGAAAACGCCGTTAAAACTTGTTGGATTTAACGTCTTCGCGGATTCAACGACCGTTAAATGAAATTAGCGACACGTGATTACCTTTTAGAGTTGATAAAATACTACGCGTTAATCTGTTAAACAAAATTTAATGTTTAAATCTGTATGATTTACTTCTAAGTACTCCGCGGTTGAATACTTTGATGTTTCCTTGCAATAAATATTTTCTGGAAAACAAACGATTGATGGTGCTGCAAGCAACTTAAATAGCATATGTATGTATATGAAACGGTTCATCCGGCTTATTAGAGGAATGATCCTAATCTATAGAATTATAGGGACTCTTGAAAATTAGCTTGAATACTATATGCATCACGAGTAATTATGTTTAATTACTGTAAATGTTTATATTTACGAAATTTGTAGTCTTATTAATAGCAGTTTCGCTAGTACATACATACATACGTACATACATACTTCGTTGTTCACAAATTATCGTTGACTATTTTTTACCATTTAATGACATTCTTATCAAAATCTGTAGATTTTTCTCTTACAAAAGAAAGAAATTACAAAATAAAAAAGACATCAATTTATTTATTGAAACTTTTCAAAAATGTATCAATAATAAAACAATTACACTACAGTTGTAGTAAAGTTACAAAACAGTTGTTATATGTATGTACAGACCCTTAAGTATGCGATATGAACAGTAAAATATTGTCTTAGAACAGAATTACTTAACTAATTATAATCCCAATTAAAGAAAAAATAAATACTGCATAACTATCGATCTAATCGAACAATTTAACTTGAAAATGTAATTTCATTGAATTTTGTATTCATTATGAAGTAGGTGTAGCGAGGATACCGTTTTATATAATTACATACTCATTTTGATACTATTTACTGCTACAGTTTTTCACATGCATCTCTGGTAATTTTATTCAAACTAACACAATTGTTATAATTTACAATTTTAACTTTTCACGTCCTTTTTGCTGTTACTATTCTTTCGTGACCAAGATGATAGCCACTTTAAATAGTTTTAAAATATTCAAACATACATAACAAAACAACACAATACAAACAAACATAAACAATTTCACCTCATCTAAATTTCGCTAACCATCGTTTCACTTAAAAACTTACACATTAAACACGTATATTTAACTCTTTAACGCCCAGACCCTTCAATTATTATTTTAAAATTATGAGACTGATATATACGCTCCATCTTGTTACCTTAAAGTCTAAGATATTGATATTAAACAGACCTATATTTTCCATTTTTTTTTCTTTTTTTATTTATTTTTGAAGGGAATACTTGAATTTCTCAACTGAAAACGTGGAAATTCATTTCATATCAGTGAAACTACGGATCCTTGCTGACAGAGGTTAGATATTAACCAGCGAAAGAATTTGACGCCGTTTTAAAATGATTGTTGCACCTGTGTAACACTGGGTGTTAAAGGGTTAAGTAACTATATATCCCTAATAACCAGTGGTGTACAAGTTTCGAGCAAAGTGCCAGCAAATAATGACAAAAGTCTTGCAACATGACCTGTGTCAAATTGGGGGCAGAAACGGAACAGAGTCTGAGCGATCCAATTTGCTGCATATGTTGCTGACAATGTGCGCGCAAGTTGTTTATAGTAAATCTTACATCAAACCTGTAGCGATAACTCTATAACAGGCATTGGAGAACATTTGGTAGGTTTAGCTAAGTGTTAGTATACTTTCGGTTAAAAAACTCTGAAACATTTTTCTGAAGAATATTGTGCTTTTGAAATTCTTTCCTGATACAGAATGTTTCAACAGTCTAAATTATTATGTTTGCAGTCGAAGTAATGTGATTTTTTACAAGTTTAATGTAAGTAGTTGATAGTTCTTCACTTGTACTTCTCACAGAAAATAAAAATTTGAACAGTAACTTGTAGTAAAAATACGTTCGACGTGTATGAAAGTAATCCTGTTTTTCTGCAGTAAAAATCTAGTAAAGGCAATGCACTGGGAACTATCATCATAATCTGTTTTTCACTGATCTATATTGTTCAGTGAAATATTTTATTACATCTTAATGGTGATATTAATTTGCAGCAAATTCATTATTGATAAACTATAAAGTTCTTTTTTTATTTTTCAGTGCGTGCAAATGGCGCACGCGTTAAGGCGCATCTCGTACGCAACCTGTGAACCTCAGCACGCTCAATTCAGCTTCCTTGCACGAGAACCGAGAGCACACTTCAGCATACAATATTGTCATTCGTTCATTACCGAATCTGCACAACAGGTACGTATCTTTTTCTGTTTCCTAGCGTTTCGCGTGTTTTTTAAGTACAATTACCTTACGCATCTGTAAAAGAAGTACACTCGGGGCATAAATAAAATATAATATAAAATTATCATTGCGTAAATTATTTAAAAAGTAATTTAAATATTTGAAACTGTTTAAATCGCTGAAAGAATAATTTTAATAATTTCGTAGGTTCTTGTTTAATCGATAAATAAAACAAGATATATAATGACCGGTTGACTGAGGTCCAAGAATATACTTATATAAGTGTTAGAAATTATAACTATAAAAAATAAAAATAAAATTTTTTATCTAGAAGTACAATTTTAATTTTATTTGCAAGTATAGTACCTTCACTTCAATGAGCGGGGTGTAATTCTATGTGTGTATATGTATTGCCCATCCCCTTTTTCTGGAATATTTGCTGGCCCTTGGAATATTTTGCTGTACCCTTTCTTCGATTCCTATGCAAAACTCAATAAACATTTTACTGAATGAAATGTGTAAAAATTACAGAAATAAGTTTGTAATCAATTACTACAGGTTATGAAGCTTAAATATTTAAAAAGAAAACGGGCAGAATTAATAAACCATTTATTCTTCAAAGATCCAATCTTTTTTTAATATTAAAAATTCGAAGATTTGTGCTCTTTTTTAATATAACAAAGTTAAATAAACCTACTGTTGTGATCTACTAATTACTTCGAATAATATATTCGGACAGCGAGTACTTTGTAACATAATTAGTATCATTACATTGGAAATAATACGAGTATGCTTCTTCCTAATTCTTAACAGGAAAATAAAATAAATTTATAACATATTGTGAGCGTTAATAGTATAATTGTTTACTTTCCGAAATAGGTAAATTCGATTGAAGTACCATAGTTTTCTGAATGACTAACGTTATATTGTTACAATACTTTTTGCAATATCTAAAAATTCAACGTGCTGTTACCAGCCGCTAAATAACATGATTTCTATCGCCAGAGCATATTTCATGCAACACGTGTTGTAGATAAAGTAAAAAATTCTTCCATATCCGCTTTATACCGTTGATCGACACAACCTGCGGTAACGCATATCGGATGGGAGAAGAAAAAAGGAGGGAAAAAGGGAGTCGTGAGTTGTCCTTCGTGATATTGCATAGTGCACCGCCATCATCCAGGACAAATTGCACCGACACACAGAAAAAGACAGGCGCGTGCAGGATATTACTCGGCGTTCAGATCCACTATGCAAATAAATCGTACCACGTGTCGTAAGTTCTTGATGTGCCCCCGTAAACCCGAGCGAAATCTGTTTTAGATTGAAGACCATTTATGCTTTTGATGGATGCACTTTTGGAAAGTCAAACGTGAATTGTAGAATTGCATTGTCACTTTATTCTACCTACTAATTCGACAGTTGTCTTGTTTTTACACAGCGTGTGTAATATTTGAAAATTGTGACGTAATATGCAATTATTCATTCAGAAGTTTTCTTTCGACATATAAACATATAAATAGTTCAAAAAATCTTGAATTTTATATCATGTTACTTTTTACATGAACAACTGAAACTCATTAGCATAATTATTTCTTTTTAAATGTATCTTATATCTATTTATTTTAAAGGGAGAGATTTAGTGGTAGTTGCTGCCAACTATAACTCTAAATAATATTTCTTTCTATACTTGAATGACTACAGGCGGTTTAAAATTTCTTCATCATGATATCAAGAAAAGTATCTTATATTTACAATGAATTGTAAACTTTGCAAAAGCTAGATAGACTATGCATATCAACAAAGGATAAAAAACGCTGTGATCTATTTATTTTAAAGAGAAAAATTTAGTGGTAGTTTGCTGTCATTATTTGTAATTCTGAATAATATTTCTTTCTGTACTTGATATTTTTAAATACTTGAAGTCATTAGCTTTTTTAGAGTTTATAATTCAATGGAAATATAATATATATATGGAAAAATAAATGTTATATCAGACATTAATAATATATATATATATATATAAATGTGAGTGATACAAATTGTGTTTATAAAAGTCATCGTATTTTACTTTCTATCCTTTCACGGCAAGTGTTTTCAGCATTATTAATCATGAAAGACTTTCATGGATATTATGAAGTAATAGTAACACAACATCCAGGCATATCGTCAACTTTTTTAATAAGATAAGAATGTTAGGAAATATCTGACGCGCTAAAATTAGGACGCAACCCAGAAACTGCTAATTAGTACACCTTTATATCGTTACCTGCGCCATTAGGTGATGTGCATTAACAAAGTGGAGTACTCGTTCAACTACTTGTGAGAATGCATTACATTACGATCAGAAGATGGAAAAAGAGGTCATGCCGAAAATATTGATGAAAACAAAATGTTCGTAGAAATTTTAATACATATTCTTCACTAGTATATTATCAGGAGATATCTCAAAAACGTGTATATTTGTAATTTCCGAAAAGGTATAAATTTCAAAAATATTGTTTGCCTCACTGTAATTAAATTCATAGATATTCATTCATAAATGTATTTCGATTTATAAAGAAATGCTTTAAATTACGTTTATCTGTGCATTTGACACAATGTAGCGGAACAAAATCGGTTATGTTAATAACAATGTTACTTTTATATTCTTTTCAAATCTAGAGATGTTTTTACAAAAATAAGTGT